GCTGTGGCCAAGGCGAAAAACACGGAGATGGACGCATTGAACGAGAAGTTGGAAAGCAGAAACGTAGAGAAGTTCGTGTTCACGCTGGTTAAGGCCCGGCATCGTGCTACCCAAGACATCAGGGTGGTGAAGAGTGTAAAAGACAGCGATGGTGTCATCCTAAGGAAGCCAGTCGAAGTCAAGAGGAGGTGGGAAGAGTACTTCAGGGGGCTTCTAAACGAGGAGTTCTGCCGGCATCTACACCACCTTCGTTTTGCTGACGATATCGTTCTTACAACTCCGAACATCGAGCAAGCAGAGGCAGGCTAACTGCGCCTGTAAGGTCGGCCTGAAGCTGACCCTGACGAAGACGATTTCTATGAGCAAGGGATTGGTTGCTGATGCCCCATTGACACTCAATGGAACGGACAACTTCGAATGCCCCAGCCACGTGTGCCAGGTTGGGAAGTCAACAGATGAACGACTAAGCTCCAGAGTCGAACAGTGGAAACGAGCGGTATGGGAAGCGTTCAAGAACATCGAGAAAGTCGTGAAGAAGACAAAGAACATATGGCCCCGTGCCCACCTCTTCGATTAAACAGTCCTTCCTGCCTTAACTTACGCCTCAGAGACGTAAACTCTGCGCAGGTAGAACGAGTATGCGGTCAACGTATCCAACGCTCCATCGAGAGGACGATACTTGGAGCTATACACGCAGGCGCAGAGGGGAATTTGGAGTTCCGAACTGCGTCAACGGTACAAGATCAGGGACGCTGCCGTTTCCGCCTAAGAATCACCAGGTGGACCGGACACGTCATGCGATTTTGTGATGACCGTTGGACCGGAGCGGTTACCTACTAGATCACTTGGAACTTCTAACGACCTAGATGACCGTCGGCCCGATGGTCAGACTTCGTGTACCCCAGGCGAGGAAGATCTACTGGACAACTCTCGCACGCGACAGGGACGAATAGAGACGTTGCTGAGACGCGCGCTCGAGCAAGTTGATGATCAACGGGACGACACGTGTACAGGTGATTTTCGAAGTGCACATCGTTGTAAGTAAAGCCAACGTGATGAGTAACCTTGTCGCGACGAAGACAAAGACCTGTAGGAGAGAATCCGAAGAGGTGGATGGAAAAATTGCAAGAGTTCTGGAAGAGAATGGCTATACGAGAGCTCAAGCAAGAACATGCCATCCTTTCTTTGCTGCAGGAGGAACACCGTCAGTTTTACCGTATGTCAATGAAAGAGTAGCAAAGAAAGTGAGCCGTGTCATTAGGTCGTCAGGTCTTCCAATCTAGTGGATATTTTGACCTCGGCACACCTGAAAACCTTGCGGATTCATGAAGAAAATGTGGCCGGAGCCTGTACAAACTGTGTTGATCATAAAATTTCTCAGCTACGTGATACAGTATATCTGGTCACATGCAAAGGATGAGGTCAGAAGTATGTCCGTGGGTGAAACGAAGCGTTCGCTACATAAACGGATAGATTAACATACACAAGCGCTGCGAAATCCATCTTCTTACCCTCCCCTTTCCCACCCCCTCCCCCACCATGAAAGTTGCCACATTACACCGCACAAAGGATGCCCATCAAGAAGAATTGCTTTAAGCGTTCCAGTTGAGCGCTTATCCACCGAAAGGAGCAACAGGGACGAGCTCATGAGAGCTTAGTGTAATAGCCGTAGCGATAAAGAAATCCTCTAACAAGTCCAGCGCATGGCATTTATAGTAACTTAATTACTTGGAAGTGATGTGGGGGTAAGCCGTCCCTCTGCTAAGTTGTGTCGTTCACATTTACATTTTCTGTATATATTGTAACAGGATTCAACGACTTCAGACTGGTTAGTGATTTCGTTAGCTGATCCTTTCAAGAATTGCGGTATGATCTATTTGCATACCTGAGTTGGAACTTGAAGTCTGTAGAAGCTGTGAATAAAGTGAAGAATTGCCAATCAAGCTCTATGGATGAGTACTCAATACTGACTCCCTGACGAAAAGAAAACTTAATGTTTGATATGTTGACGACAGCGTGTGTTTTGGGATTTTTCTCGTGTGGGACCAGAGCGATCTTGTACTTCTTCAGCCTAGCCCTCAGTTTCGTCGCCTTCACTATGTAGTGAACATAGTGAAAGCGTCGTCTCATAACGGGTTCGGAGACCATTGCTGAACCTTCCCAAACTCGTTGACGAGCCTTGCCCCGATAAAGCCGACTTTTCCATGTTTTCAAAGCATAGCGTCGACGAACCCATCCATTTTCCCATATGATGGTTTAACAATAGCAGCGCCTTCCTTGGTAGGAGTGACAGTGAACTAATCGCGTGGAGATTCACCAATTCTGGAAGTTACCTAGGTTACAGCGCTGAAATCGACGCTGGAATCTTTGGTTCTACGTGTCTGGGCCACTGGCGCTTCCAACTGCAATATATGCGATCTATCCCCCTCTGATTACCGCCATACAAACAAGAGACAGACGACAAATCAAAATGTTCATGCAAAATCTGAAGGCCTCTCACGGTGGTTGTCATCCATACTACAAAATCTCCTTTTGCCATGAGTTCTCTTCTTTTTGAGAATATTTTAAGGAACCGCTACTGTTTTATGATAACTTTGAAAAAGCTGCGTCAGTTTCCGTGCATTGCTCCGGGGACTGCTTCTGAAGTGCTCCATAAAACACTCGTCATTCAGTGGAACAAGCCTACCGAATTAGCGCATTTTTCTCGATGTTCTGGACTCCGGCAACCAATATTTACCATGTCGTAAAAAAACACTCTGCACTTCTATTGCAGTCGTGGACTCATGCCACGGCGTTTTCATTGGCGCGTTTTCTGGGTTTGAGAAGGAGGAGCAGCCAAACATGCTTCCCTTCGAAGACGATTTTCTCAGCCACAAGCCACGGCAGAGATGCTCCTGAGAGATCATCCGACTAAGGATTACATATTTTTTACAATATTTGTTCAAAAATTATCACTGAAAACTTTACAGCATGCAAATCGAAATGACCAAAGATTTTTCCGACGACCTAAATTTTAACAAGATGCGACTCAACCGCAAAGTTTTCATTTTTGGGTGCGTATTAAGCATCCGAGTGAGCATAAGAAGATTTAAAAGATTCTTAAAGAGCAAAAGTAGAAGTGTCTCCCAAGTGCCATCCGCCGGAACTTCATCATTCCGCGGACAGTACATTTCAAAAATTCCATTCAGTTTTTGATGGCTGATAGGCAGGTGTAAAAGTGAGTGCAAAGGCATCAGTAAAGGCAGCATATGGTCGTCTCTCAGCTCACTGCGTGAGGCATGTAATTCGAGGCTCCTAATGCCTCCTCTATTATTCCACCCTTTCGCTCCCTGGTTGTAGCTTGTGTTAAGTTCACTGGAGAGGGGAGGGGAACTGTATATGGCTCGGGAAGAGGAAGGAGGTCTAAAGCACAAAATCAGCGGCAATCAGGAAAGCGTGACGACTTTCGAAGGAGGTACGAAGGGGATGGATAATGCCGTAGGAACCTTGTTATTATAGTAATATGTGAGTAAAGTGGCGAGGTCTAAAATTCTTCTTGCCGACCTGTGCCGACCTTACTGTGAGTAGAAAACCTTATATCAAGCAGTTTCCGCAAGAAGGACGACGAAATTAGTCATCACGGAACTAGCAATTACAACTTTAGCTTACCATCCCAACACGACTGCCACCAGAATGTTCGATTTTGAAAGTCCTAGGGAAGAGAGATACACTTGTAGATGCCTCTGCGACTTTTTATCACAGAGAGTGCGTGGCACATCGCAGGAAAGGCCACTACTAGCTTATTTAACTGATCACGAGGAAAATAGTGCTGAGAAAATTCCATTGTTTTCAGAACAAAGCGATGTATAAAAATTTTTCAACTAGACGATTTTTCTGGATGGATAGTACTTACCATTGTCCCGCATTTTACGACGCAGCAAAGGGAGATTGGAAGCAGAGTCAACCCTGCGTTGCGCAGTTCGCAACGGCACGTTGAGAGATCCTCAACGCAGGCTGTATGGGAGGAGACGCAGACGGCTCGAGCATGCGAGTGTGAATGTTCGCGAAGGTGTCTAATCGGGCGAAACTGCGCAACGTGGCCGTTGAAAACTGCGCAACACAGGGTTGACTCTGATTGGAAGACTGAAGGCTATCCGACAATCGTTCCCAAAAGGACATTCTACCGTAAACTGATAACTGCTCAACTCTCTGGACCGCTGTTTAAGATTGGTAAGTACTCCACTAGAGTTGGAAGGAGGCCTGCGATACGGTCAGTACCGTATCGTATCGAAGCGCGGGGGTCGGCCGATTGCACCAGACTCTCTCTTATACCCCTATCGGTTTTCACACATAGATGTCTCATTAATCGCAATACTAGGAATCGGCTGAAGAAGAACAAAATTATAGGGCTGTCGCAAGTGTTGCCAGTGAGATGAAAAGTCCCAAACTTGAACACCGGGGTTTTTTCATATTTTGTGTAGAAACTTATTGCGCTTCTCGTAATTTCCTTGAACTTGCTCATTAGAGTATGGCTCTCAGAAACTGTCACTGCTTGCTGTTCTATGAATTTTAATTCAATCATAGTGTCAGAACTAACTGGAGTATACCCATTCTACAAACTTATTACCAACGTACCTCCACTTGTTCAGTTCACTGCTACATCATTTGACCGATCAAGTTGCCAGCGTTCAAGAAACTCGTGAGACGCCGGAAAAGGGGCACATCGTTATCAGTTTTTTATGTAGTATACTTCGATTAGTTTACTGATTGATTTCATTAACATACACGAGTCACTTCATAAAATTCTATATTCAAATCGATTTTATATCATACTGAATGAATTTTGCGACAGCCAAATGATTATGATTACGGAAACAGTGCTTGAAAATTTTGCTCACTGACTATCTACTTCTTATCGTATAGCAACATAAGGCACTAAGCAGTAAGTGACGGAACAAGTCAAATATGAACAATTCATCATGTGCTCTTACGTGTATTGATATCAATTTGTTTTACGTATTTCAAACAGATAAAATAGAATGGTTTCTGGGAAAGCGCTCAGCCAGTACATGCACAAGATCTTCATTGTCCTTAGAAACTATTGCCAGATCCTTGCGAATTCGATGCAGTTGTTGAGCGAATTGTCGTTGCTTTCCAACTTCAATCTGAATAGGAGCAAAACGTGAAAAAAATAGTCCTGAAGAAACGTATTTCAAAATAGTTGCAGAGTTTAATTGTATAATACAGCAGATGAGAGCAGATTATGATAGATGGGTTCTTCGGAAACAACAGGGCTCTCCTACGCTGAATCCGCTTCACAGCATGCCTAGTATTCGCTGAATATAAAATGCTGCTCTTTGACAGCAAGTGTGAGAGGAACATTCAGTAAACCAACTGCAACTGCCCTTGGTAGTACAGGAATTACCTAAGATTAAGATTCCGCTGAAAAGTTGTATCAAGTATTCGAATACGGCAGTCACCTGATGAACGTTTACACCTATAGAAACACCCAATGATTCCGGTCGTCGGAACGCAACACTTAGTGTATCTTGGATTCACCGAAAGATAATAGTAGTGAGAAGATAAAGTCATAAAAGGAAAAGAATAGCTTAAAAACCGTAGTGCCCACCATATCGACCAGCTCCACATTGAGACGTGAGATCACTCCGTTCTGTTCGATTGTTTCCATGGAATTCATGCAGCTGGTGTGAAGCCTTCCAAACAACTTGTACGCACATTCTCCTCTCCGATCGTCAACCTCCTTAAGTTCAAAGGAACCCAATAGCAGCTATGCACACAGAGCATAAGAATAAAACATCAAATATAAGCTCGGTTTTGGTCAAATTGGGTGATTAACTGAAATAACTGAACAGTAAATAACAGTTTTCGCCAAGGAATCGATGATAAGGTGGGCCGGACACGCCATGCGATCTTGCGATGACCATTGGACCAGAGCGGTTACCGACTGGATTCCTCGGGACGTCAAATGAACACCTGGGCGACCGCCGGCCCGATGGTCACTTCTTCACGAAAGCTTTCAAGAGAAGGAATGAACGGCTTCGTATCCCTGGAGTGACGAGGATCCGCTGGACCACTCTAGCACGCGACAGGGACGAATGGAGGCGTTGCTGGTGCCGCTCCAGCAAATCGACGATCAACGGGACGACAGGTGATACAGGTGAACTGAACAGCACAAGGCTCTTGGACCGGGCTAAGAATGGAAGAACTTCAGGACGAAGCGGGCATGCGTAATCAAACCTATTAGGTCGGTCCGTAAGTCTTACAACAAACTGGCCGAATTTTGAATTGAATATTTTCATTATTTTTGTTCCATTTATCCGGCATGCTACCCTCCATCAATATCTACAACCTATAGCCAACACACTAGCAGCTGTTCGATGCCTCCCTTGTAGAACTCTACTGAATTCTGTTCGAAGAAAGATCAGATATCGATTTTGACATCATCATAGTTAGGATGAGCTTTCTTCTTGGGAGATGGTTTGGAGAGGGGAGCGCAAGGGCATTATTTGGCACGAGGTCAGGCCTATAAGGTGGATACAGAAGAACTACCCGTCCTGGAGTCTCAAAATTTTTCTGAATTCTCTTAGCAAGAGGTTGTTCAACGGTGTCACACAGAAGCAATTCTTTGCCTGTTTTTCTTTCATATCAAATCGGTTGCAATCGAGCTGTGGATAGTTGACCTCCGCCGTTGACTGCTACATCTACACGTAGCGGTTGCCAGAGCTTATTTCCTCGTTTTAACCAAAAATCCGAGAAGGCCTACTTGGACGAGGTTGAACTTCAGCAGTAAGAACTCCGAAGCGTTTGAGCAGGACTACCGCCGCTTGCTCATTTGTTAGCACACAGTATCCACTCCTCATCTAAGGCAAATGCGATGGATGGTCAATCGTAAGAATCCCTAGTAAAGTCGGGTGTCAGATCGTGTTTGGAGCTGAATCGGGCTCAAGGCACGTGGGACCAAACTCTACATTTTGGGATCTTCACAAGTCTTTGGAGATGCCACAGTGCTGTCTCCTTGTCGCATCGGAATCGCTCTAGCAAATGATCGATCCCCCATCCAGATCCCTTCCCAACCCCGTCAGATATAGCATCGTGATCGTCAGTCCGAGGGAGACTGGAGTGTGGGTTATTTTCAAATAAAAAAAGTCAACGCTGAGCAGAGCGACGCGCCGTTGCACCGTGGTTTGAGAGAGCTTGCCCTCGCCTATCTTCTGGCCAATCCTTGGTCTATCATGACTTGCAGAACATTCCAAGCAGTACTCGTAAAAATTAAGGGCATCGAGAGCCCTCTCGCGAAATCGGTGTAAGATCCATAATAAGTAAGCAGAAAACGAGCTGGACCGTTGGCTGAAATTGCAAAGGTCGATGCTACGTCAGGAAATATGTTGCGGATTTTCAGGAGTTCTCCCTAAAATTTTATAGCATTGAATGTAGTTTGTTGCAAGACTTATGGACCGACCTAATATATCCTAAGCAGCTTTCGACAGCTGATCCCTGAATTATACGCTTGGGAAACAATGCTCGGAACGGTGTTATGACTATTTACAACGCAATCCTTCGCTTGATCGCCAACGCTGGCTGCCGCGATAGACCATGCTCTTCTTTTCTGCTTTATGATGCAACGTTCCTACACCATCAAATATGTCAAAACTGTGAAGCTCAGGGCTGGAACTGTTAAGACTTAGCCGTCTCCAACCAGTCGATTGCTATCAAATCAAGCGTGAATCATTACCGTTGACCTTACTGCAACTCTGAAAATCTAGCAATGCTACCATTTCTCGCTCTAGATTTCTTGGATGAGGGTTGGATCTAAGTCCGTCTTTTGCCACAAATAGAATAAAGAATAAGTACAGTAGAAGAACAATATTGGTACTGCTACAGTAAGGGCTAGAAAAAACCGATCTGAATCAACTTCATCTTAACAGCTGAGAGAATTCCATCTATTCCATGATTTTACATCATAAAAGGGCCGAATGCATTCCTACTCCGCATACCACCTTATCCTCTTATTTGCCTTAACTTCAATACACAGATAAGCCCATTCGAACAAATAACTAAAGAACTGCTGTCTTTCAGTTTTGAGCGATTGTCTTTTTCAACTATATGTAGATGACGCTGCACAGTTTGAAAATAGTTGCGCCCTTTTATTCTCGTGGCTGATCCAAGTCTATATTATCAAACCAGTTTGGCTGCGCACGCATTCGTATGCAGCACACGGAACTGCATTTGTGCAAGACAGGGCCATAAATACTTTCATAAAGCTTCGTGGCAATCTACGCCCACCTCGCTTCCACCCACCCATAGTATTTGACCCCTCCTTCGTCAACATTTCTCCATCTTTTCGCAGCCTTTGAGCCCTCTCGAAGTTAACCACAATATTTCATGGTAAACCCCGCCTACTACTGCGCACATCCCACCCACGGATGTCTGTTGACCAACTTCCTTCGCCAATCTCTAGCCACTTTTATCCACTGCTACCCTAAAGCAAGTCGCCCCCGATGGCATTTCCTCTATTCGCTGATGGTGCTTTAAATCGTAGTCGCTCACTCGAATCAACCGTCATAATTTTACATAGAGAGTTGTTTCGCAAGTAAGAAAGGAATAAGAAGGAAAAAGTAAAAAAGAATCCGGTATAAACCTCAAAAACCGTCGAGAGCGTAGGCCTTCCCATTCGAGTAGCACTAGCGCCTCGATTTTTAGAACCATTTACCAGCACCCGCTGGTAAACAATAAATATATGGAGCACTTCGCCAAACAACGAGCGGGTATTTAATGACTGGGTATATTCAGTAGCAAGTGAAGCTCTCCTATAACCATAGACAGAGGGCAAGGGAGTCGCTTCTACTGAGAGATTTGAGGGATACAGCTGAACAGGATGTGTTTTTATAAAATAGTAGTAGTCGTTTCCATCTTAATGTAAAGTAGGACAGAAAGCTGGCTCTTCCTTAGAATGTGGTTCCCATTTCGGCACCGATTTCCCCTCAAAGAGATGCGTTTCCGAGTGCTTAGCACATACAGCAGTGCATTGTCAAACAGTGGTAATCATACTCAAATCTTGGTCGAGTCCCAACCCTAGTAAAAATCAATTCTCCAGAACTAATTCATAATGCATTTATAAAAATGGTGAGTATGAGCCTGTGGGGAAAAATGACGTGTCGCACAGTATTGTACCGGAAAACGAAAGACCTATTTTCGAAAGTCAAACATAAAAAAACGCAAACGCTTACCTCGAATAAAACTTCATCGATAGGGCTAAACACTCGATGAAGGGTCTGAGTAGTCCATTTCAATTCCCGTTGAATTGCCATGTTTTCGTTGTGTACCTGTGATTGGCGATTATCGAAACACTACTACTTCAGACAGAGCCGGTACGCTTCATGAGCGCGTTGGCCAATTCCATAGAAATGACGAATACCGCCAAGGTACTTGAGCTCACCATCCTCAGAGGAGCGGAAGGATGACATGAACTACTTCCATCTAGCAGGAGAATTGTCTTTTCTGCTCAAGCGTGTGTAATGGAGCAATTTGATACAACTTTTTCTGGTCACTGGTTTTTCTGGTTTTTCTTGCCAATGAATCTCACCAATAACAGCGTATTGCTTACTGCATAAGCTCATACAATTTTACATCACAGTTCCACTCGAATGCCCAGAAAACGATGTTTTTGAGTTGTGTCTATGTTGTTTAACATTCAAATTATCCCAAATACACGATAAGGTGGGAGGTAGAGGAAGGGAAACATACCAAACTGGAAGCAATGGAGCTCCTCGGGGTGAGGGAGGACGCACGTTTCGCGGTAAAATATGCCCCAGCGAATAGCCCGTACCCGACGTCTCTTTTGAATAAAATTCAGAGGATCTCTGCACAACTAAAGCAGTTTTTGAGTCTACTGTTTTACTTCACTTCTTGATGTCAAAGTGAACTTTTGATACAAAGGAGATATTTCCATCGTTGGAGGGCTTGGCTATTTTTTTCGCGCGATACCTGGATCAACCGTCTCATCCAAGTGATGGAGTCCTAGCAAAAAGAAACTGAGTCTGCAGAAAACAGTTATGATATTGTTTTGATACGCACCTATCGTCCTGCGCTCCTAGTGTGGTATAATGTGGTTCAGAGTGGGCATCACGCAGCATCGCATCAACATTATGGAAACTATGTCTCAGGACAGCCTTTGAGAAGGAGAGGGACCCCAGTGTGCGTAAGTAATTTTCGCATTCCCCGGAGTTCGTCCCTGCTGCCTTGGCTTACTCCTAGACGCCTTTTTACAGAGTGGCCTTTAAGCCCATTACGCCCTCGTGCTTTACCAAAACGAGGAGCCCTTCGCTATTGAAAAGGCCAAGGTTAGCTCGTGGCATATCTCGTCTCACGCCATGCCTCTTCAAAACTCCATCTTCGGCTATTTTAGCGAAGATACCGATTATACTTTACATGGTTTGTTTGTTGCATGGCCACGCTGACGTTGAAATTGAACGCTTCGGAATGTAGCCTAGTCTCACATAGCTGAAAAACTGCGTATCCGCATTTCATGACTACGGTGGAAACTAATGGCTTCATCAGTGAAGTGTAATTGCCTCTTTTGAAATCCCAGTCATTACGTTTCGACCGCGGTACCGATCACCCGGACATCCATGTTCACGAGACGTGCAAAGCGTAGGAGGGTCGGAAAGCCTAGACAAACTGACTGATTTGTACGGAATACCTGGCCATCACATCGTGGAGGCTGTGAACAGGTTTCAAGCGATTCATGATAACAGAATTCATGGTGTAGATGAAAACTTTCAAGCGGGACATTACACAGCTTTATCAGATTCCGTTCTCACAACGTTTACTGGTTTCTTTTCTTTCTGTCAGGAATGCTGTCAACTCTCTAGAAGCTGAGTTGTGATGAAATGGTGCCCCGGTAGCGTAACTGGTAGCGCACTTGCTCGGAAAGCGAGGGGTCCCGCCTGGGGCGAAAGTCTTGTTCATAACCCAGCATACTTGTGAAATATTCGCAAGGCGAACTGCGTCCAAAAACAGCATTTAACAAACAAAAACAAGTCAAAATCCGTTGTCAACTCTGTTCAATATCCTCCAACTATGGTAAGAACACAGAATAGTAGTTGATCATCTAACGCCTTGGCGCATGAACATTAATTTTCGTTCAAGCAACGGGTTGTGCAATGCATTCTGAAGGCGAGATATGATTTTATGAGAGTTGAATTTGTCAGCGGATCAAGGGGTTGATTATAAAAATACTGCATCGGTAGTGCTACAGTACATAAGAACGTGAAGAAGAACCCAGAAATTATAACAAACAGCAACTTTCAAGTTAAACACTCAATCCACCGACAAACTGAACCCTCATAAAGCTGCCTATCTGAGGGCTTGCTTTATGTGTTCACCCTTAATACTTCCTTACGTGCCGATGTTGGAGAACACAGAGTTCTTCCCTTTCTACCGATTCAAACTAGCCTAGCCACTTGCAAAGGGAAGATTTGCCAATGTTCTAATGATAGTTCTAAAAGCTATGGTCTCCGTCGTCGTCTCCATCCACACTTAGGTTGAAAAAGTCCAGGTTTTACTGTACAATGTTTCTTTTGCCAGATTTGAAGTACCAGCAAAAACAAAAAAAGCGCTGACATTGAAACTAAACGCCGAACTGCCTTACAAGGGAAGGATCCCAGGTCGAAGTGGCCATTTGCAACGAGACATACACCACTAGATGTGTTTTTGGACGCTGATCTCGAATTTGCCCTCCAAATCTGCGGAACGATTCTCCGAACGTAGTTATGAAGCGAGATAGTGCAGTAGCAGCGGCCTGGGCCAACGGGAAAGACGTCGCGGAATCGAATTTTCGGCGAGTTTTGACTTTTGCTTTTCCTGAGGACATTGTTAAGGAATCCTCATCTATGCTAAGTCATCAGCACTCGCCTTCATTACTAGTGCGAGGAGATAGCGAGGAGTTTGATCATGCGTGCCATGTGCAAATGACCAACGGTGACTGCCCACATTTGCAAACAAAGTTAGGTACAAATTTCAGATTTGGACCAAAAGATGTGGATATGGGCATTTTGACGCGCTGAATACGAATATCACCTCTGTTTGGCACGAATGCGCCTGACGCGTGCGCTACGAATACAAGGGGCGATCTTTTGCGAATGGCGCGCACAGTGTTGGATGCTCCTCGCTAGCTATTTCCACTTGTAATATAGGCAATCGCTAATATTTATTATGGATAAAAACATCTTTAACGATGTCTCAAGGAAAGCAAATGTGAGACATCGCCAGATAGCGATTCCCGCCGGACGTCTTTCCCGTTGGCCCAGGCCGCTGCTACTGCACTATCTCGCTTCAATAACTACTTCAGGAATCGTTCCGCAGATTTGGAGGGCAAATTCGAGATCAGCGTCCAAAAACACATCTAGTGATGGTATGTCTCGTTGCAAAGTGCACTTCGACCTGGGATCTTCCCTTGTTAGTTACGCAGGAATTATTCGAAAGGAGATGAGCGGGTCGGGGGGGAGTGGTGACGCAAATGGCTGCAGCTGCGTCCAGCAGCTCCGCCTACAGGCGTTGGTTTGCTTACGTCGCGCATAGCAAGGCCGAACACGCTCCTCGGGTTCTGAGCCGTCTCTCAGGGTTTTTCCTTCATTCCTGCACCACTGACCACCTTCACTTTATTCTGATTGGCTACATTTTGATCGCCTCCAATACGGAAGAAATCATACAGTGGGCTTGCAATTGTGAAGAATTACCTTATCAGTTTCATCGTACTGCTTCTGCACATATCCAATTGCTTCCTTTATCAGGTGGACTATGAACCGCGTATCATCACCAGAGCTTCTAGCTGCTTTCAGATGCCTTTCCTGTAATATATGTACCATATTTTCATAAGCATTATATTCGGATGCCCTGCTAAGAAGTGATGCCAACGAGAGCAAGGCATATACGAAATAAATTAAAGTATGAAAAGATTGGTATAAGCAGTGATCGACTGTTCCTATTTGCTTGTTTTTCTGTTACATATTTCTGTTTGGACTACCTTCTGAACTCCACCTTTGAGGCATCTCCCTAGCTGCACGAAAGCAGTGCTCGATCACTTCAATATACTATGTCTACTGAAGAAGTCCCCAGGTCCTTCTGCCAAGGGGTTTATTGGCTGGAAGCACCAACGGGTTGAGGTGATTGGCAGTGACGTCATTTTACGAAATACAAAATGGTGAAGAGGTGTGTTTTTTTTTCAGATTAAGAGAAATCTAATCTAGAAGGTAAACAAACTCAAGAAGTTATTAGCGTGATTTTAGGAAAACGTCGCACCTCCCCAAGAGCACATTCGCTAGCCGTAGGGTTAAGGTTGGGGTCGCCTCATCTGGATTCTGTGAAAGTCAAAACGTGATCAACACACATATCATGAGCTCCAATGCCTACTAGGGTGTCTTCCTGAATGATTTAGAACCAAGAAAGAATCCATTCCCATTCAATCGCTCTAAATTTCAGCGAGATAGCGTCCATTCATGTGAAGTCTCAACAAACGCTTCGTTTGAAGAAAGAAATTTGAGTCTTTCCAAGTGACTACATTCACTCAATCAAGAACCTATGAATGATCCTCGTTAAAGATTTATAGCCGACTGTGGACAAGTAGAAAAAGTCGAACAAGCGAAAAATCTTATCCAGTAAGCTTAAAACCGAATACAGTTTGAAACAAACTCCAAATTGTCAGGAGAAGGCCAAAGCGAGTGAAGCATCGAAGGAAGTTATATTATGAACTATAAAGGGCAAGGCCTATCGGCTTGGAAAAGAATGGAATCACGAGATCCCTCTCTCGTGACGGAACAGAGATGAGGTCATCCAGGTTTTTCGGCATTCCCGGGGCGGTTGCCCTCCCATCCGCCTCTAGTGCGAGAAAGTGGAATGAAGCATCGTAGAATCGTCGTCCAAGGATAGAATACAGAAGATGATTAAGAATTGAATAGAAAGAAAAGATGCTAAAGCCGACGCTGGTGATTAAAGGAGGATTCTACAATAAGGTTGAAGATCGAAGTACCTAGTGGGAGGAAAGACGTACTTCCAAGGGTGCGAACTGGCAGGTAGGCTTTCTCCAGTGCTGCTTTCAATGACAAGCTGTGATGATGATCACAACAGGCTCTGCTATCTATAAGGCAGGGATAGCCGAGTGGTTAAGAGGTTAGACTCATGTCTGCACCTCTGAAAAACCGCGAGTTCGATCCCTGCCGAGGTTCGAAACCATGCTCTGCAAAAATTGCAAAAATGGTTCTAGTACCAGCGTCAGGCCCAGGTTGACAGGCCGGCTGATGAATACCCCAGTCACACCAAACATGTCTGAAAGTCGCAAAAGAATCAGTGTTAATGCTAGGACGTCACCCGGAAGTGGCGCGCAGAACCCCCGCCGAGTTCTGTGGTCAGTATGCGAGGGCTACCGAGGAGGGAACGACCTCGGCCAAAGAAGCTAGTTCAAATAGGGACTCTTAACGTAGGATCACTAACTGGGAAGTCCCGAGAGGTCGCAGATCTCATGACGCGCAGGAACATCCAGGTGTTATGCCTTCAGGAGACGCGATGGAAAGGTGCTAAGGCCAGGGAAATCGGGGAAGGTGTCAAACTCTACTACAATGGGGAGACACCAAGCGGAACGGTGTGGCCATAGCGGTAGCGGAGTCGCTCAAAAAAATGTCTCCGCAGTGAACAGGATGAGCGATCGGATCATGGCTGTAAGGATAGACACGGGGGAGGGATATTGGACCATACTCTCTGTGTATGCACCGCTAGCCGGATGCCCCGAAAGTGAAAAGGACGAGTTCTACCTGAGCCTGGACGAAGCCATAAAAACGGTTCCAGAAGGCGATTACCTGACCATAGCAGGTGATCTGAATGGCCACGTCGGCAGTGACAGGAGAGGCCGGGAAAGGGTGGGAGGTAGAGGGATAGGAGTGAGGAACGCCGAAGGAAAGGGGGGCCTAGACCTGGCTACGGCCCACGATCTGGCAATCTGCAGCACGTTCTTCGCGAAAAGGGAGACTCACAAGGTCACCTACAGCAGTGGAGGACGACAAACGGAAATCGACCATGTGCTGGTAAAAAGACCATCCCTCAGAACTGTGAAGGAAGTCAAGGTACTCCCCGGCGAGGAGCTGGCTTCCCAGCACAAGCCACTCCTGGCAGACATAGCCATGGAGCTCCCCAAGAAGAAAAAGGTAAGAACCGAGAGGAGAATCCGGTGGTGGAAGTTGCACCGTGCAGAGAAGAACGACCTCAAGCGAAGGATAATGGAAGTTGGTCTCCCAGATCCTGAGGGACCAGTGCAGCAGGCTTGGAGCACTGCAGCTGAGCGTCATCCTACGATGCGCCAAGGAGGTACTGGGAGAGACGGAGGTGGATTCAGAGGAGACAAGGCAGCGTGGTTCTGGAACGAGGAGGTCCAGCGAGTCGTGAAGCAGAAGAAAGAGGCATACAAGCGCTGGCAGAAGACCCGGAGCTCCGAGGACCTCGCTGCCTACAAAAGTTGCAAGGGGCTCGCTAAGGCTGTCGTAGCCAAGGCAAAGAACACGAAGATGGACGCCTTGTACGAGAAGTTGGAAAGCAGAAACGCAGAGAAGTTCGTCTTCAGACTGGCCAAAGCCCGGCATCGGGCTACTCAAGATATCAGGTTGGTGAAGAGCGTGAAGAGCAACAACGGCGCCATACTGAGGAAGCCAGCCCAAGTTCGGAGGAGGTGGGAAGAATACTTCAGAGGTCTTCTGAACGAGGAGTTCTCCCACGAGAACAACTCACGGGCAGAGGCCACAGCTGGTCCCATCGCACTCTGGACAGAGGACGAGGTTCGGCGTGCACTTGGGAAGATGAAGGTTGGAAAGGCAGTTGGTCCAGATGGAGTGCCTATAGAGGCTTGGAAGGCCCTGGGAGAGCACGGGGTGAGGTGGCTCACCCGCTTCCTGAATACGTTGACCGCCGAAGGAAGGATGCCGGATGCCTGGAGAACAAGCAGCAGAACAAGCATCGTCCCCATCTTCAAGCAGAAGGGTGACGCGATGGACTGCTCTAACTACCGCGGCATCAAGCTGACTGCGCATACCATGAAGTTGTACGAGCGCCTGGTCGACTCGAAACTGCGGGACCTCCAGATCTCCCAGGAACAGTTCGGGTTCATGCCCGAAAGGTCTACAACAGATGCCATCTTCATCGCTAGGCAAGTGATGGAAAAGTATCGCGAAAAGCGCCGACCTTGCCACCTAGCCTTCCTCGACCTGGAGAAGGCGTTCGACCGACTACCGCGAGCAGTGCTATGGAGGTCGCTTAGGGAGCGGAATGTGCCAGAACACCTCATCTCTCTGGTGAGGGATATGTACGAAGGAGCCAAGGCAGCTATACGCACCCCATACGGCCTAACGAAGGAGGTGGACATCACGGTCGGGGTGCACCAAGGGTCAGCTCTGAGCCCGTTCCTCTTCCTCCTAACACTAGATGTCCTGGTGAAGAGGCTCATGGAGGGACCACTGAAGACTATCCTCTATGCTGACGACGTCGCCTTGATTAGGCCGAAGGCAGAGAGCGGAACTTCAAACCAAAGGTGGCAGAAATGGCAGAAAGCTTGACAGAAGGTGGGCTACGGCTGAATGTCAAGAAGACCAAGTTCCTGAGCTCCGAAGAGGTGGCAGAGCCGATCGTGGACGGCCATGGTGAGAGTAATCGAAAGGGTGGAGGACTTCAGATACCTCGGGAGCGATCTGGCAGCCGACGGAAATGTGGATCAGGCAGTAAAGGCACGAATCAACGCGGCCTGGATGAAATGGAGGGAGTCCACTGGAATCCTCTTCGATCGAAGGTGCTCCAGAGGGCTCGAAGGAAAGGTGTACCGGACAGTGATAAGGCCTGGCGATGCTATACGGCAGCGAGTGCTGGCCCCTGAACAAGGATCACGAAAGCAGCTTCACTCCGCTGAGATGAGGATGCTGAGATGGGCCTGGCGCTGGACGCGGCTGGACACGGTTAGAAACGAGGACGTCAGAGCGGTCATGCAGACTGCCCTCTGTCAACTAAAGGTGCGAGAACAGCGTCTGCGATGGTATGGGCATGTGCTAAGGAGGCACAGACCATCCGATAAGAACAGCGATCGACTTCGAAGTACAAAGCAAGCGACCGCGAGAGCCCGAAGAAAAGGTGGAAAGACGTAATCAAGAAGGACCTAGGTGAGGTCGCGGCCACGATGGAAGATGCCCTGGACAGAGCAAAGTGGCGACGGCTGACAAAAACAGCGGACCCTGCGACTGCGCTTTCGGGACTAACGCTAGAGGAGAAGAAGTAAGAAGAAAGGCTCTGCTATCAATCAAGCACTACACTGAGAAGTCGAATGGGTTGAGATTGCCTGCCCGATAGCCATTCCTCGGCGGTAATGGAGTTGGGCAGCTCCTGTCGGCACCACTCCTGAATGAAAATCACTCTATGGGCTGGGGCACTGTTTCGGTGGAAATGTCGGCTTCAGAACGTCCATCAGTACGTCCTTTAAGTACCGGTCCATGTTGATTCTCACACCGGGATCCGCGAAAACCAACGGCGTCTTACCATCGGTGGTGATTCCTCCCCAAACCATTACTGAAGCCGGGTTTGCTTTCCACGAAGCTTCCCGCGCTCGTTAGCGCTCTTGATCTAGAATGCGATCGTTCTGGCGATTTAGGATCGGCTCTACCGCGGAATTATGTCGTCGGAATAAGGTGGAGTGGAGCGTGCTTCCACTGAAGAGAGCCAGCAACCTCTGCATTTTCCTACCTTCTGCTTCTTGTTGATGTTGTTGTGTAGAACAACATCAACAATGTTGTGCTGTTCTTGTTCTTTTCAGAAGGGAAGCGACACTTCTGCAGTTGGTAGGCACCAATGTAGCTCCTATCCGTGGAAACACTGACATTTTCCATCTTCCGGGTCTGTCCGTGACTGGTCCTGTCTCCCTGTACCGTTTCATAGTCTTGTGAACAGTTCTTATTGGCACCACAAGGAATTTAGCAAAGTCCTTCGCTGCCGCTCCTGCTTCATGCATGCCAATGATCGCGAATGCATTCGATGAGCTATGCCAGGAATTTTACCCAGGCAGCCAAGGACAAAAAGACTAACATATGCAAATGATTGGCGCCAATGAAATGAAAGTAATTAGTTAGTAACGTTTACCCAAGGAGCTTTTGAAGCACGTAGGCGCACATAATTTTGGGACATCCTGTATATTTCGGATACTGTTTCTCGAAGAAAAACTTTCCGCATTTGTTTTTATTTACAGATCTATTTATGATATACTAACACTGTTCCCCAAATGCAAAGCTGGTAAAAATTTGGAAATAAATCAAGCCGATAGCGCGATATCGGAGAAAAGTGGAGTGAGTCTATACTTTTGGGACACTACATGTACACCACGTCGCAGGCGCACCTAGATCAACTGAGAGACTAAGAGGGCCCGCAACTTTCAGAACGAATTTGGGAAGCTCTTTCAAGACCAAACGATTGTCAAAGTTATCACTGGCGACTTCACAGGTAGGATTGATTCCAGAAGGACGGCTGGAGGCTTCACCTCAAACTGGCGTGAAACTAGCACATGGAAAAACTAGCCGGGTTTATTATGTCCAGCAAAAACATCTAGACCTCGCACTGTCACTCGTCGAGTTCCTTGAGCGACGCATCAGTGACGTCTTCGTTCGTCCCCTTCGCGTGCAAGAGTACTCCAGCGGGTTCTGCTCGTTCGAGACAACGCAGGTGCTCACTCCTTTCCTTTGGAGCTTTCGTGAAGAAATCAAAGCATTGATCTGCGGTTGACGTCGCGAGATCCGCAACCGCTCTGGACCAATGCTCATCACAAATTGGCATGTCACGTGGCGTCACGACCTCCAGCGAAAATGGCAGCGTCCCAGATGTCCGACCTCTGAAGGAGTTCAGACTTGCATTCTCCCATGTATTTGCGTAAATTGACAAACTTAGCATCGTCCTATAATCAACGAGTTGCATCACGCTGCTATGTCCCGGACTTTAGAGGGCTGTTGTTAGGATCGAAAAGATTTACAAAAATTGCTATAAATTGGGCTATGCGACCGATTGGAAACACTAGCGTGACTTGATGATTTTTTTTTCGTCAAACTCTGATGACACAAACCTTGGAGTGTTACCGAAAAAAAACAGTCTTAGAGCCAGTATTCTCAAAGGAAATGGTAAACACGCTCAAGCCCAGGTTTACTGGAAGACGAAGTAGATCTGGAAGGTTACAGTAAAGTTGAGGCGCTGTCGCTAAGTGGCGTTTTCGGAAAAGTGGTGATTTTGGGATGCTATTAAGTCTACATTTCTGAACAAATGCATTCAAACATACTTTTTTGTCGGCTATGGCTGCCCTCTGCTTAGTTATGTGATGAATGCTCTGGAATTTTCGAAGACACTTGACATAGCGTTCATGCAATTGCAGCTTCTGAAAAGTCTTTAAGAGATCCACAAAGATAAACTAGTGAATATGCCCACTCACTTCTCTCAAACCAGAGTTCTTCACACCCTTTAACTGACGTAGAAGCTTTCGCTTGGAGTCTTGGGCATCATATTCCAATGCTGTTGCACGAGTCGCGTTGTTAGTGAAAAAATCCTGCAAAAGTTGTATAGGTCTCAAGGAAAGTAAAAATGAACTTCAGTTACCCATATAAGACATTGAATGCATTATCTCATGTTATTAACACATTTGGCTAACGTTCTAACGTTCGTCGTTGGTTCACTTTTTGGAAAAAAATGGCACGTTTTTCATTATTCATGTGCACACCACTATTCAAGTTAACATTTAGATTAGGATGAAATTTTTCAAAGCTGTAATTTTGCGAGCTGGCCAGCACGATATGCTACAGAAGCCGGCCCTCTCGGAATCTAATTGAAAAATGATATTAATTTAATTGAATTAACTGAAAAAGTCTCAAAAAATATTAGGTTGTTCGAAAAGTAGTGCGGGTTTTCAACCTCTACCTTTGGAGAAGCATATCTCCACTCAAGTTCAACATTTTCGATCGTAACAAAACCTATTCGAAACCACATATTTTTCTTAACAAGATGCATAATAATAATGTCAGCTCAACATTGACCTACTACAATTTCGGCTTTAGATAACTTTTTGAAGATTCATCGCGGTCCAGCTTGTGAAGGGATGGCTTGCTATATTCGTGAACAGCCCATTTTCCATTTTATATTGCAATGCTTTCCTAATATTCGTGGTTTTCGTTACGTAAAATGGGTGGAAAGGACACTTTAGGAATACGGTATTCCTGCTGCGTCGGGTAGCCAATGCGGTAGCCATCTGTTTAGCTTTTTCACCTCCCCAGTCTTGATGAGACACAATCTTTCCAATATACTTACTCCCAGACCTATGCTAAGTAAAGTGCAGTTGGTCCGAAGCCATCTTCTACGGAACCTTTAGAAGGCCGTCGCTAACAGCGTAATCATGCTCATGGCTCCCCTCACCTTCACGATAGACCTCATTGAGACCAAAATATTGGAACCGATGTTGTGCTGTGCTTTTAGTAGTGCTTCCTTGGCCCCACCCTTCAGTGTCATTTCGACTGGTCTACGAAGCATTACCTCAGAGTTTCAGCACATCGAAGTAAACTTGCCAAAATCGCTGGCTTGACACCTTTATTTCAAATCTATAAAAAACACGAAATAGCAAGCCCTATTGAAACTCGAATACAGTAAAGGAAAGAAGCTACAACAGACTTGCCAATGATATATAGGGCTTCAGGTCTCGAATGAAACACCAGTATAAAAATATTTCATGAATTCATGGCATCTCGAAACCCGCATTACTTTCCGAACAACCATATCGTCCATACTTTTTGAGAGGTTCGCTAGAAGTTTTTCACTCAAACATGCGAGTTTTTGAGCTTCTCATGATTACTACCTTCTTTACAGTTGCAATTCCGAGAAGCTGAAGCTAAAGGGATAAGCGGGGCTTCTCAAAAGATACATAAAAGGTTCTGAAAAATGCTAACTCAATCGGTATAATTATTTGGGGCGATTTCTGAGCCATTTTTCCCAACATGCAGGTTTTTGAGGTTTCGTGATCAAAATTCTCTTTCAGAGCATTGTAAGCATTTCCGTAGCACAACGATCCAAGTGATTTGAACTTTCTAGATGTGCATTGCCCAGCATAATAATACTTCAACCTACAATTTTCCCAAAATCCACATCTAAAGACGTTTCCGGAAAAGGCTCTGAAGAGGAATTGTGACACATATAAACAGAGCCTTAATTAAATAATCTTAATCTTAATATCAACACAAAATTTTAATGGAGCAACAATTCTTTATTTTTTCTTTTCTATATTATTATTATAATTATTTATATTTGTTGTTATTATTAATACTATTTAATTTTTATTATATATTTATTTATTAATTTTATATTGCCATTTTTTTCTTGAAAATACTTGCTCTGCCTATCATGCAAAATCAAGCTTCCACAATATGTTTTTTCGATGCTTCTATTTTTACCCGATGAACTTTCGCAGTCGTTATCCCTTTGAGTTCATGGCGGGAGCACAACCGCTGTCAGACTTCCATGAAGGGAAAACCCTAGCAAAAGAAGCGCAGGGGCTGTTGAGGTACCAATTCACGCTGGGATTTCATGAGGGCCACTTGAATAGGAAACATACTCAAGGAATCTGCAGGATGTGATACTGTAATATGTAGTCTTTGACTGCTATTAGATGCAGATAAGCGCCTCATCATGAGGAAATAATATAATTTTGTCAAGTTGGGTACGAAGTTCGAAACTTTTTCAAAGTTATTGTCTCAGCGGAAGCAGTTTGACGTGCCTCTCAGAACAATTATTATAATTCATGTTTAGAAGATGAGTGAGACATTTTCTTTGAGAAGAAAGCACAGCGAAAAACGAGCCCATTCCCTCACAAGGTTTCCAAGTCGAGTAAAGTAAAGACACTCTTTTATCCATCGGTTTTCGGTTAGAGTCGCTCTTTTTGACGCTTTTTTCCTCTTTCCCAATGAAATATTAAGCAACTATAATTTCTTTTCTCAGAAAATCCCCCTCATTTTGTAAACATGCTTCATCAGGAACCTTCTGCACAACACGGTAGACTGCGTCCATTGATCTCTAAAGATCCATCACTTCTTAGGCCAAATAAGACTCCATGTGCAAATTTGGGCAAAGCAGCCGGCCCTTCCTATGGGACGAACGGATATTTCGAGCTGCTCGCATCGGAGTCACTACGCGAGCACAAATTCATCACCCACTGATAACTGAACTTATAACATCACACAAACCAGTAACTCTGCTTTTGAAGTTGATGAATCCATCAAAAAATGTGCTTCACGGTCCTTCACAGCCAAACTTCTCCAGATGGAATCTGTTCTTGAGCGACAATTTCTAATATTTCCTTCCACCTGAAACAGCAAACAATTGATTCCATCTATAAGCTAATCAAGATTCTCGTCAGATTAGATAGCATCTGTTTGTTACTCTTATTATCGCAATTCTAACGAGTCTGTTATCCACTAAATGCAGTAATTTTGCAAATATTTAATAAACACAAAGAAGACCTTTGTCGGGATGGCGTCTTCAGGAATACTTATTTCGACAGACAACGACTTTTTCGCTTTTTGGTGAGACGATTTTGCCCCCTTCCCACCTCATATCCGTGGATTTTGTGTAGTAAATGAGCTAAACTTGAATAGCGCAACATTAAAGGAATCTATTAGACATTAATTATTCTGATATCAAAAAGATGCAAAAAATTACGACAAGCAGCTGTTAGGCGATCATTAGCTGGGAGCCCATTTGGGCTACAAGCGGCGTGAAGTTATACTTACTCCAACATTCTCTATCCTGCACGATACAACATAAACAACAACTCCCAGCACCGAAAACTTCGATGGAAGGCAAAAGATCCACTAAGCTAAATGCAAAGGAGCCGGAGTTCCAGAATCATGTGTTAGGTCAAGCATATGTTCTTAAAGAAACATTCCACGATCCAGCTAGAAGGATCTCACCCAAGCATGCCCACAAAGGCCTGAAAAAAGGCATGCTCGTCGCTCGAAAGTGTATTAAGACCGCTAAAGGCTTCTTCCGCTCACAATTTTGTCCGCAAACCTCGACTCCTTGTCAGCGCTAGCTGCGGCAGAGAACGCTTTTATGCCTTAGAGGGAGGCATCTAAAACAGGGCCGATGAAAGATGAATTGGTATTAAGCTTAGGAGAGGAGAGAGGCGCCACGAGAATATAAATTGCTCACATCCTCACCCGAAATCCCTTCCCCTCTTCAAGGCGTTGTCCAAAGCACAGTAATTGACTCATTCACTTAAATGTTCCCCCTACCCTACCCCAAAAGCCAAAAATTGTAGATCTGAGAAAATAAGGTGAAAGGATAAACGAGATATGAGTTGATAACTTGTATTCAAAACTGAGCAGCCGTTTGTAGAGTTTGCTT